TTTGCATATCTGTGGGAGAAGGCAAGGGTGGGATGTTTCAAGAGAACAGCATTGAAACATGTATATTATCTAGGGTGAAACAGATCACCAGCCCAGGCTGGATGCATGAGACAAGTGCTCGGGCCTGGTGCACTGGGAAGACCCAGAGGGATGGGGTGGAGAGGGAGGTGGGAGGGGGGACCGGGACGGGGAACACATGTAAATCCATGGCTGATTCATATCAATGTATGACAAAACCCACTACAATATTGTAAGTAATTAGCCTCCAACTAATAAAAATAAATGAAAAAAAAAAAAAAAAACTGGGGATTTGGAGGGGCCGAGTCACTGTGACTCCCGCCAACTGCACAACTGCTCTCCTTACCTGCCTGCTCTCTCATTTTTAAAGGCAAATGAAGATACTGCAACATAAACAGTAAAAGATCAAACATCAGGATAATGGAGACCTTGACAGTCAAAACTCTAGCTCATGAAGGAATCCTGGCCATTGCCTCAATCCTTTCTCGCAGATAAGAAATCAAGATCTGGACTGAGCTCTCCCTATAATGTCCTACCTGGGCCCACGACAGACACTGTCATGAATAGGACCCTGTGGGTCAGAGACCCGTAGATAACCTCAGGAAAGCCCAATGATGAGACTGAAGCAACATCTGAAAACTGGCCTGAAGCCCTCCTGATACCAGCTGAGAAATGTAAATCAAAACTACATGAGGTATCATCTTCCACCTGTCAAAATAGCCATCATCAAAGTCGGCAAATAAAAACTGCTGGAGAGGGTGTGGAGAAAACAGAACCTTCCCACACTGCTGGTGGGAATGTAAAGTGGTGCAGCCACTATGGAAAACAGTATGGAGTTTCCTCAAAAATATGAGTTGGCAAAAGATCAGATCAGGACCACTTGGGTAAATCTGGAGTGTCTTTCAACAGACTGCTTTGTTTCAGGGTCGAGAAGGTGGGGAGGGAAGTCTCTCACGGCGCTATCAGGCCTCTTGTGCGGCAGTTCAGGGTGTCTCTCTGGTGAACAACTTATCCCAGAGTGAGCACCCTCACGGCTATCACAAAGTGTTTTGCTGGAACTCAACAACTGCAAGCTCGCTTGTTGGAACTAGACTACTAGTTAGTAGGAGCCCTAAAACTAACTGGCCTTTGGACTTGGCATATTTCAGCCATAGCAAACCTCTCCACATCCTTAACAAATTAACACCATCAAATTACCCGTGATCTAATAAATACTTTTGAGTTACATAATCCCTCTTCCCGACATTTGGTTTGTATTTCTATTACTGCCCTTATGTTAGGGTTTATAACCTGTCTCCCCTATTAAATATCAAGTTCCTTTAGGGAAGGTACCTGTCACATTAGCCTCCATACCTCCAGAGCTTATCATAATGTTTGGTGCATGGTAAGCAATTAGGTACTTGTTGAATGAATTACGCAGATTCTGAATACTTCGTATCTGCTATTTGGGGGAGGGGGGACCTAGTCTCTCTCGACACCTAAAAACAGGAGAGCAGTAAGACTAAAACTTAAAGGTAGGTTTTCTTCAGCTTACTTTTAAAAATAAACATGTAAAATGCTATTTGATAAAAAAAAAATTCACTGTTCTAGTTAGTAAGTAAAGAATACAAGAATAGCATTTGAAGACTGTGTAAAAGATTGAGAAAAACACTAGGACCCCAAGAACTTAATGGGCAAAGGACATGAAGAAATAATTCACTGAAATTAAAAACACATGGCATAAAAGAAACTTTCCATCCACACTAGACATTATTTACCTAGTAAAAAAAAATACTTATTAAAATAGTGAAGTTTTAACAAAATGGTAATTCAGAAATGATGATGTGAAGTAAAAAGACACTTGTACACTCAGGTATTAGGGGAATATAAACACAGCTACACGGAGAAAGAACTTTCAGTTACCCTCAAGGTATACATGTTAAGACTCCATGTGTATACACACAAATACATATGCATGTACATAAACTAAGTCTTTATGCTTTTCTAAAAATATGTATTCCAAGGAATGAGAATGTTCATTAGAATTTATGCAGTATGACTTAGAAGTCAGCATAAGTCTACCACTTGCTAATGATCTTCAGCAAATAATTAATTTTCTGGACTCAGTTTCCTCATCAGTAAAATGGTTATTTTAAAAAAAGAAAAAAAATCATACCTACCTTAGAAGGTTGGTGTAAAAATTAAATGAGAAAATACAGTAGAGTTTAGAACAGTGCCTGGCATACAGGGTGCTCAACAAATGTTAAATGTTAGCATTCCATATCTGGAAACAGCCTAATGCTTAATAATAAAAGTATGTTTAAAAAGATAATGATAAATCAATACAACAGCATATCATACAATCATTAAAATGTTGCTCCTGAAATCATATAATCACTAAAAAGTTGCTCTTAAAGAGTTCTTACTAATGATGGAGAAATGCTTATATTAAGTAAAAAAGTATAATATAAAGATATATAGTATGATTTCAATTATGTAAAGTATGTATCAATATATAGAAAATGATCTAGTAGAAAACATGCCAAAATATTAAAAGGATTACTTTAGGCAGTAGAATTTGACCTGCTTGGTTGTTTTTCTTCTTCATACTTTTCTATCATGAATCATTTTTTATAAGTAATAACTTTTAAAATCAGGAAAATACCAGTTTTTATAAGCTTAAAATAAGGTTACAAATAGGTTAAGTTCAAAAATTTATACTAACATCCAACTCTTCATGTGTAAATGATGTGATATGGAATTATTGTGGCTTTCCAAAACTCAATTATCTTTTGAATTTACGAATATGGAGCATTGTACTAATGCAAAGTAAATATCACAAGCAACATGGAGCAGCAACAAGTATTCCTTGGTTGAATCTGTTTATAAAAAGTGTATGAAATCTAGCACAAACAATGCATTCTCTGACTTAAGACAGCCCACATTCTATTTAGGTTGGCCTCTCCCACTCCCAATCACAAGTTCTAGCATACAGGTGTTTCTGATCCAGAATCCCTGGAAACCCTGAACCAGTGGGGGCCTTGCTGGGCGTTCCTAGAGCCCTTCCTCCTCCCAGCCCCACTCCACACACTGCAGCTTTTACCTTTTCTATTCATCAAACTGAAAAGTTCTCATTCCTTCTGCAATTTTCAAAGGGAAGAACTTCTGCCTGGGTGTAAGAAGAAGAAAGAAGATATTCCCTTCATTCTGAAGAAACTTTGCAGAACGCTTTTCAATTCTTTATGCAGTTTTTCCCCTTCCTCAACAGCTTTCGGGCCTATGTTCCTCAACTCTTGACCTTTCAGGTTAACTTACCTTATAATTAGTCCAAAACACTATGTCCATTTCAGTCAAATTATTTAACTTATACCACTGTCTACTAAATATATAAATATCTGTATATATAAAAATCACTCAAGACCTTAACAGTTTTAACAACCGCATTAAAGTACGCAAAATTTACAGGAGTTGTTGGGAAACTGTTCATATTCTAACTAAAGTACTTCTTTGGAGTAAATCTCAAATGCTGATTGTTTAATCAGCATTTTCATCTAAACAGGACTGAGTTGCACATTACCAGTTACAGCCATAAAGCTGAAAAACCATCTAGTTAATATGCACCAAACATCCACCCACACTGCATTAACCAGATCATTTTGGCTGAATTTTTTAAAGAATTTGTTTAAGCAGAAACTCCTCAGATATTAATGTACTTTGTTGCTCCATGTGACAATCTTCATGGTAAAAGTTACCTTTATCATATGCTATCATTTTAACAAGCTTTACAAATTAATACAACACAATCTAAATGCACCATAAATTTATATTTGTTAATCTTGATATTAGAACATTTAAACATTTCAAACTACATAAAAATATGACAAACAATATAAAATAGAAAGAAATTTGTTGACAACTTGCTTTCAAAACATCTATTTCTTATATTGCAATTAAGCAAGAAGACAGTTTACACAGCTCTCCAGAAAACATAATAGTGTTCTTAGTGGAGTGTTATCAACAAAAATCAGCACAGTCCCACACAATAATGTCTGAGATTTATTATCTTTTCCACAGTACAAGTTTTTCACAAACCATAAATCCTTTGCAGTTATTAAGTCTGTAAACAAGTGCCTGAATTCCCACATTCCCCCGCCTCAGAATATGCTTGTGAATGTTTTAAGTCCGTCAATCAAGTTTTTTAACTCTACTTGTGTAAGGAATTAAAAGCCTTCTCTCTTTAAATTATTTATATTTTATCATACAGCCTGCAATGCAGAAAATCACAGTGAAAGCCCTGGGATAAACAAAACAACATGATCTTTACAGCAGGACTTGAAACTTACAATGATAAATGCATTTAAAGAAGCATCCCATAATAAAAGCACGGGTTTTCATTTCCAGAAATCAAGTCAATTAGAAATTCTAGGTTCTACTTAAAAACCCATTTTGATCTAAAAGTGAAAACAGTCCCCTATCCGTAGTCATTTTATAAACTCTATACAGTTTCACTTGCAGGGATATTTTTCCAGTCTGGAAAACAGTAGTGCAATTAATTTTACTCCTTTAAAGTTATTTCAGTCCAGGATGTAAATAGCTCTGTGGAAAGATAAGAAGATGCTCTGGTAAACAAGAAACTTCTGCAAGCCCATGCTGGCTTACTAGTCCATTAAAGCTTGTAAGTCCATAGTGGCTTTCAACAAAATGTTGTATATACATCACTAATAACAAAGCAGAAATAAATAGGCAAAAACGACTGTAAACTGTCTCATCTCTTAGTGATTTTTCAGTAATAACTGGCTTGACAAATCGATTATATGGTCATTTAAATAAGCAGACAGTAGACAGCTGCCCTTAAGGACATTCCACTGTGGCATCCAGTCTGGAAAGCCTCAACGGAGTTACATTCCTAAAATTAAAACAAAAAAGGGGGAGTGAGGATGGGAGATAAAAGTTTAAAGATGTCAAAGATGTGCATGGAATTCCACCAAGTCAGCCAAGCCAGTTCACTTAGATTTCTTCTTAAAAAGGCTTTTAATTTTTGATGGCTTTTTGCTTTTCTCTCCATTATGGCAAAGGTCATGTGGGATGCTGCTTATCCTGGCAACACTCGGGGCTTCCTGCACTGGCTTGCTGTCGTTTCCCGCTGAGGAACACGACGTGTGGCGAGGTTTAGGCACGGGAATGCCACTGGAGAGCTGGTTCATGCTGCACGATTTTTCCAGGATGCCATTGTACACTTTGCTGGCAGGACTGAAGATCATGCTCTTAGTTTCTGTCAGGCCCACGCAATCAGGAGAACCCCGCGAGATGTCTGCAGTTATGGGTGAATCTCCTCGCGATGAATCCTCTAGAGAGAGCTCATCTCTTGATATTTTTCGAGGAGACAACGTTTGGTATATCTCAAGGCTTGAAGGAGGAGACTGTTTCCTTCCAATGGAAGAATTTAAGGAGTCACATTCTGAAGCTGTGTCTGGCACTTCCCTGGATGAGAGAGAGGCAAAGGTAAAATTCTGTCAGTATGTTCTTAAGGGTATCAGCAGATGTTGCAATGAATCCTAACCAAAACAACTTCCACAGTTTAAGCTATCCTTCTGTACACATTTCAACAAAATTAGAAAACTGCTACTCTAAATAAAATATTTATCAAAATTCAATGTTTAATTTTTAACATAAACTATGATAAACAATCTAGAAAACATTATAACTGAAGTTACAACTCCTTCAATTGTTAGAGAAATGAAAATGTTTAATTTTTTTTTTTTTTGAAAATGTTTAATTTTTATGGACTTTTATCATTTAGCTACTTTTGTGTTTTGTTTCCATACTGAAAACTTTTCTTACGAAATCATATACTTGACATACAGTTGAAAAGACAAATTATAGACACTGCCTCTCCCTATATTTTTTGGTCATTAAATTGACTGAATATAGTTTCCTAAGGAAGAAAAGAATACACTAAGCTGAAGTATAACCTCTCCCAAGTTTAAAACAGAAGGGAAGAGAGCTGAGGTACATCAGGGTAGGAAGTGGATGGCAGGTGAAAGGCAATGATACAGTGCTATTTAATAAATTCTCACTTTACTCCTCTGTGATTTCCCTCACTTTCTCCATAGTTGAAAGAGAAATAAAGCAGACTAGGAAAATAAAGTTTATAACCCCAAAGCCCACATACAGTAAATGCTACCAGCTATTCCCTCCAAATAAGCCTCAAAGCTACCTCTTTCTGCCTGTCCCGCTTGCTGCCCTACCTCAAGGACTGCAGTAGCTTCCCTGCTTCCATTCTTGCTCTTCCCTCTCGCTGACTTCTCTGAACAGCCCTTAAAGTGGTTTTTAAAAACTCAACCAGAGCACATCATTCCTTTGCTCAAGAAACTTTCCAATGCTTCCTCACTCGCTTAGGCTAGAATCCAGAGCCCTCGCCAGAGCCCACTAAGACCGGGACAGTCAGGCTCGGCTGCCCCTCCGGCGGCACGCCGTACCATTCTCAGCCTCGGCCCGGTTCCTGCCACATGCCGGTCTTGTGACTCCCTCACGGCTGCTGCTCTTACTGTTCCCTCTGCCCCATCTTCCTCCCCTCTTCTCTGCATGGCTTGCTTCACATCACTGCTCAAATGTTCCCTCCCCAGAGGTATCTCCCCATTCACCCTATACGAAGCCGCTTTCTCTCTCCTTTTACCTGTCCTTGTTTAGCTTCCCAGAACTGATCACTACCTAAAATACTTTACATTAACTTGTTTATAGTCAATTTCCTCAGAAGAATAGAGACTGCATGAAGACAGGGAGTGTTACTAACTTGTTTTTTCCTGGAATAGTGACAAGCCAATGGGGACATTCAATAAATAAGGGAGGAAAGGAGGGAAGAACAGGGGTCATGTTATATTCATTTTCGTATGTACCATCCAGGTGAGATGAACAGCACTCACTCCATGAAAGGAATGACTACGAAACGGAAAGTACAGTCAAGGTAGGATCAGAGTAAAAAGGTAACTGGCAAAAGAAATAAGGTGAGAGAAGGAAAAGAACTGAAGACAGAAAAGCAGGAACACACGTGATCATAACCCACCCGCTGGAACTAGGCCAGGACCTTGCCTCACCTGTCTTGGCAGCTCAAGCTTTTAGCAAGTGCACAACACGCAGCGAGGACTAAATTCACATTTACAGAGTGAATGATGTAAATCATCTCTCACCTTGGAAGACCTATGATTACTATCATGATTCACATTATGAGATGCATGTTTATGGCTTCTGACATGTATCTTAATATCATACTTTAGATACATATTAGATTGCTAAATGTATTTAGTCTTTCTATGAACTTTACACATACATGTATGTGCAGATTGTCTATTATACCACAAGCTCTCAGAAGGCAAAAAATCTCCTGGGGATAATAAGAGATTTAAATGATGCTTTCATTTTATACAGTTACATGTACTACATACTTTTTTCAAAAGCTTTTACAACTTGATAATGGATAGTGCTAACAGGGGGCAAGAGGCAGTTCAGACAGGAAGAAATGACTCAGAAATCAATCACTGGTAAGGACTTTTCTGCAAGGCTTCTTTCTGGAGTAGATTTCCATTAATCAAACAGCATATATATATATATATCACCACTCCTAGGAGCTGTTCAGTTTCCAGAATCAGAAGGGGATTTAGTTAAAATTTTATGAATTTACTCTTTATTCTGTTATGTGGTTTGGCTGCTTTGTGTATGAAATTCTAAACTAGGTTAAAAATATTCCAAAGTCTAGTTTCTAAAATCTAAATAATGTGCAAAAAGAATACTGGTCTAAGTTAGGAAACCTAGATTCCAGTCCTGGTCATCACTTAATCAGATCTCAATTTTCCTGTCAAAGTAAGAGAATTTTATTAACTTCTAATATTTCTTCTAGTCCTCACATCCTAATTTCAAAACAATGATAATCTGAAGTGTTGCTTCTTTTGTATAACTTAGTCAGATTTGGAATATAGGTCTAGTTCACCTTAAAGTCTCCCATTTTTTCTACAACATATATTCTTTGGAATGTTGAACTTAATTGTATGTACAATTTATGTCATTTTTCTACCTTTTTTTCTCCATATTGATATGTAGTTGAATTTATGTAAGTTTAATGCATGTATAGCAAGACTTAAAGTAAGGTTTAAATGAGTGTGTACATGTAGTAATGTGCAGAACATAAAAGATCAGTAAATAGCAAATGCTTTATTTATTATCATTTTGTAAGGATTCTGGTGGTTCAACACTTAAAAGACTAAAATAGAGAAGAGGAAGTTTTCTGAATCTAAATTCTTCTCATATTCATCAGCGAGCTGTGAATTTCTGACAGTGCTCTTTGAAACAAGGACTGAACATTTCCATCACTGCAAAAAATTCTAGACAAGAATTTTAATTCTAGAGTTTTCCTACCAATTTCTGTAAGCCATACAGAATTAGTTTTGTCAGTAAAGGCATCTTACTGGTGACTACAGTTACACTGCAAAGGCTAGACCAAAAAAGCTAGCTATAAAGTATTAACCAAGCAAAGCTGCATCAAATTCTCGGTAGCAGTGAGGACACAAAACTTGTTCTACCTCCTTAGGAATATGCCATACTGATCCCCTGCTAATCATGCATTTTACTTCTACTGGTAAATAAAACAATGATATGTTAAAAAAAAAAAAAAATCACATGACAGAGAACCACCGGGGCTCATGGAAAACGTCCAGCCCATTCCCTCTGGCTTTGTTTCTCTCAGGAGAGCAGTAAGAAGGCAGGCCACACAGCTATTAAGTGGCAGGATCAGAAACTATTAACAGTTTTCCTGTCACTCATTCCTCCTCCAAAAAAGGAATATGGTTTAGAAAGAGAGATCCCCAATAACACGAGGTCTCACTGGACTAGAACACACTGCCACTATATCCATTTATAGAAAGAAAAAAGGAGCTGTTGTGAATATAAGTTCCTCCTTTAAGTTCCTAAACCTTTAGCATCTGATACTGCATGCTTGCTACCAAGTACTAGCATGCAACAGAACAAATCTATAAGTGACAACAAATATTTTAAAACCTGAGTCATTCATATTTAATGTATCTTTGTGCTCAAGCATACTGAGGTTCGTGCCTTTACAGTTTACATACAGAACTATTCATTAGACAGGTTTATATTCTGAGACGTGAGTCAACTGTGTTCAATGGCCCCTAACAGCTATATCTCAAAATATCCTAGGTCTGCAGTGGGCAGATTTCTAAGATGGTTCCCCACTTCCCAGCCCTGGTACACACACATCTTCTCCCAGGTAGTTATTGATCAACACTACCACAGGCGCTGCTTTGAAGGGATCTTGCAGGTACAATTAAGGACCAAATCTGTTCATCTTAATAGAGAGAGGTTATTGTTCAGCTAAGCCTTTTAAATTTAAGTCTAGAGATCAGAGATAAAGGAAGGCAGAGATTCAAAGCAAAGGAGGCATAGAGGCCACACATGGATGGCAAGGAATAGTGGGCAGCCTCTGGAAACTGAGAGCACGCACAGAAACCAGCACCTCAGTCCTAGCACCACAGGAACCAAACTCTGCCACAACCAAGTGAACTTTGATGAGGCCCCGCAAGCTCCAGGTAAGAACAAAGCCCAGCCAACACTTTGATTTTTGCCTTGTGAGACCTTGAGCAGAAAACCTAGCCACACCAAGCTTGGACTTTAGCATACAGAACTGACAGCTCATAAATGGGGTGTTGTTAGAAGCCACGAAGTCTGTGGTAATGTGTTATGCAGCAACGAAAACTTAATACCACACACCACTCCTACCCACCCACCTCCTTCCCCCCTCCTCTCATCCACCCAGCCAAGCACATACTGTACTTCATTCATTGCCAATACCATTGCTTTTCTGCAGAGAAGTAGATGGCCTCCTCCTCCTCTTCATTTCGATAAAGAGCAGGGCAACTGGACACTGAGAGGATATCCGGATCAGGGGAAGGCAACGAGTGCTGCGCGTGCGGCGCGTGGTGGGGCTGCCGCGCGTGCGACGGATGAGGAGCATGTGCAGGAAGCTGAGCTCGCTGAGACTGCGGGGAGGACGGCATGATGCTACGGCGGGAACGACACAAGCTGCTGCTTCTGGCCAGGGACGCAGCGGGTTTAGCCATGGTCCCTGAAAACCAAGCGGAAACAAATGACAATTCTCATAAAACCCAGTGCTGCTTTCACGCACGCTGCACAGACACACTGGGGAGAACTGGTGGTCCTGTCACCAGTGAATCCACCACCACTGCAGTGAGTAACTGTACACGTATTACCATCTTCTACCACCTGTGGTTCTCAGGAATGCTAAGAAGTAAAAAAAAAAAAGTAACAAAAATAAAAACAGGTCTAAAAAATAAACAGAAGTGAACATAAACACTTGAGGTTTTAATATAATGACTGACATTACTAACCTAAAAGCTTAAATATTTACCTATGATAACAAATCTTATATTTAAAAACAACATAGCATAAAGACAGCACAACTTGTTTGAACATTGAGACATTTTAAATCAAGAATCATTAAATACTGTATATACAGTCTCACTACTTTTTAGGCAAAGGTTAGATAAAAACTTGTTTTTTAAACACTGACTACTGTGGAACTAACCAGAAGTCTTAGATTACCTTCCATCTGCTCCAAGTCTCAGTCCAGACCTATGCTGATTGTAGACAAACTTCCCCTACATGCTTAAATCTTCACTGAATGGGCACCTCATTTCTTTGTCTTAATGGAAACAAACTCTCCTATGAACACCCTGCTCAAGCTGAAGCTGTTCATTCTTACACAACTCCCATCTGTAGCATCAGAACATCACATTGATGACCTTCTCATTCCCCAATATTGTCTGTAAACTCTCACTCCTTTTATAAAAACGTGGTTTTTTCACTGCTCACACTATTAAGCTCACACATGAATTTCTTACCTCCACTTCACTAGGCACTTGCTGTTCAGTCATTCTCTTCCCAGTTCATCCAACCTCTCATCAACTTGACCCATCTCATCCATAAGACCATCACCTTAACCAATCATGGTTCTCATCTCTTCTCACCTGACATTCACCTCTATTCTGCTCCACCACCCATTCTCATGCCTTGGTCTTACTATTATTCAAAACTCCATTTTTGAAATAGTAAGTTTAAGATATCAGATAATCTAGACTGATCACATTTCGACCTTTCAAGCTCACATGTTCTGTTCCTTCCACTACCTGTCCCATTCTTGACACTCAGCTCCATGACCCTATTCTACTGATTGTCCCTTCTGCTGCCTTTATCTTCATCTTCTCGTCTTCCATTTCCCATCAGCACTTAAAAATAAAAGTTGAAAAAAGAAACCTGAAGAACAGATAAACCATAACAGTGACAACAAAACCTCCTCTACCTCAGACTGTTTTCGGCTGACATCTCTTCCTTTTTATGTAAATGATTAGTGTTGCTTTCTGCTCTACTTTATCTTCACTCACTCAGGAAAGAAATGGTAAAGTGCTTCCATATGATTTCGCTACAACTATTGTTAACAAAATTACGATAAATTTCCTCACTCCTAAGTTCAGTGAGTATCTCCATCCTTTCTTATCACTGAATGAGCACATGACGTTATTAGTTTGTCCTTTCCTCGACTTCTCCAACCATCTTCTTACCTCTTCCTTTACTCACCGCTTCAAAGTTCTATTCTAGGCCTTGTTCCATTCTTGTTCCACTTTTCCTTCTCAACAAATTTCATCCACTCCCATTACTTCAACTATCCTTTGCAAAGTCAACAGAAGTCCAAATCTGTGACTCCTGCTTTCATCTTTTTTCTAAACTCCGGAACTTCACCTGCCTACTGGACATTTAAGTATTCCACAGATGTCCATACTGAATTCAACATTTTCCTTCCAAACACACTCCTCCTTCTATGTTCTTTACCTTGGTTAAAAAGAAAAAAAAAAAAGAGCCATCACACCTCACCGAGTTATATGAATTGGACACACCAGATATTCTTCACTCTTCTTCCTTCATCATAATCTACATCTGCTGCTGCTAAGTCACGTCAGTCGTGTCCGACTCTGTGAGACCCACCAGGCTCCCCCGTCCATGGGATTTTCCAGGCAAGAGTACTGGAGTGGGCTGCCAGTGCCTCCTCCATAACCTACATCTAGTTAATCATAAAGTGTTTCCAATTCTACCTCCTCAATCTCTCTCACATCGGTCCACTCCTCCCTCCACCACCACTGCATTATGCTGAACTACTGTACCAGAATAATAACTGATCTTTCTCCTCCAACTAACTCTTCATGCACAGCCTACACAATCTCTTTATGATGGAAAAGGAATATGACATTTTATTGCCTAGAACACTTGATTCCCATTAATTCTAGGATTAGGATAAAGCCAAACACCTTAACCTGGCTTAGAATGCCCTATTTATCTAGCCTCTAACTTGGAACTGGGATCCCTCTTCTCTGTTATAAGAATACTAGGAAAAAGATACTCACTTCACACTTTCATTCCTCATCTCATCTCTCCCTTGGCCTCCTATTTCAGGTTTTTGCTTAAAAAGCAGGTCCTCAAGGAACTCTCCTGGCCCCTCCAAATTTAAGGTCAGCATTTTCCCCCTTGTGCTCACATGGCAATACCACAGTGTATTTCCACATCATAAAACTTTTCTCATTGCATTGCTCTTGCTGGTCTCCCATTAGACCACATGTTTCATGAAGGAAGTAACTGTGTAAAATGTTCAGCACTGCATCACAACAACGAGCACAGAGCCAGGCAAAAAAGCAGATGTACAGTAAGTATGTACTGAGTGAATCAGTAAACTGAAAGAATTCAGTGAGTGAATCAATGAACAACTCGAACAGAAACAGCCAATGAAATATCTTGATGGAGTAAAATAAAAAGGAGGTAAAATTGAAGGGAATATATTCATAATATCGGACTACCTCCATAACGGACTACCTCCATACAAGGCTTTTTTGAAGCACAAATTATACCATATAAAAACACTTATAATTTAGTAGGCCAACAGTTAGAATTTTACTTACTTATGATTCATATATTACAAAACTATAAGATTTCCAATATCGGAATCTTCCAAAGTCCAATATCACTTCACCAAAGAAGAAATAACATCCTACAAATACTAAAGGAATATATCCAGGCTGACACAGATAATTAAGTTCTACAACTCTTAGCATATGATGCAGCCATTCTCATCAGCCACTGGTTATTTGGTATATACAGTAAAATGTAGCCACATTCAGCCATGACTAGGAGTGATGAGAAAGACTGAGAAGAATTAGGACTCCCTGCTTGAAAAAAATGAGTCTTACTCACAAATATGGAAAAATATGTCACTAAGAAGGTTTAAGAAAAAAAATTAAATATATTACATGAGGAAAATTCTAAGTAATCCAATAGAGAATATAACAAAGATAAGAACCAGTACATGGGTCACATATGGAATTGTTTACAACTCTACAATTATTTTGAAAAATTTTCTTCTCACATATGTTGCCATCTCTTTCACCTTAAGAAACGTACAAACCCTTCCATTAGAGGTATCGTTGAGGGTCCTTCTTCCTTGTGGCTTAATGAGGTCTACACAGGGCTGCACTCAGTTATAACACCGTAAAACTCAAGTAGGATTAAAAAGCAGTTCACTTTGACCTTGGGTAAGGTGAGTATATCTCCAGGCAATTATTAATTCTCAATGAAAGTCTACAGCTATCCCATCCTGGGATTTATCAGAGTAGTTAAGTGAAACACTGTAAGTTTACTATACAGAAATTTATTTCTGAGATAATTTTTCATTCTAGTATCAGTAATTACATACAGAAGCACAGTGGTTTAATATGATGCTATTTTGCAAACTGTTATGTCCTTATGACAAAGAAGGTAAAATTCTGTTTTGAATAAGGGGGTCCCCCTACCACCAACAACCAAAAATCATAAGTCATATATGGACATCTGGTTCTAGCAATATGGCAGTCAAAGATAACCTGACCACCATTCCCAACCTCTCAGCCCCCAATCACACATTTTAAATATCCTCAAATACTTCAATATGTGGAATAAAATAAAACAATAGCTTTAAGAGCATAGCTGAGTTTGAAAGGAAGAGAAAATTCTCAGATGCCAAACAGAAAGACTAAAGCCAGAGCCGATAGGCTTGTGAGTGACGTGGGAACTGCTGTGGGAGTGGCTCAGTCTCAGTAATTTAAGGGTTTGGGTTTTAATTTGGGGCTATAAATGACGGCTTGAGCCCACATAAGGGGAGGAAAAGGAATCAAGAGTGAGTGTTCTGGATAAAAGCCTGGTCCTCGAAGGGCTACCACCCTCCACAGTGGGAGGGTGTATTGGAAAAAAAATCTGACCAACGAACAAAGGAACTTCCTTCAATGCATGTTCTGCCGACATAGGAATCTAAAAAGGTTCTTGTGAAAACATCAGTACTCTGGGTGTTCAATACTCAAACTCAGTACAAGCTAACTCATATTACCCTGGAGATCAAGTTTTCACTACTGCAAAGGTCTGTGAAACTCAAATTCAAGAAGTTAACCAAAAAAGAAAAGGATGGTTTTGAGTAGGTGAAGCCCTTGAAACTACTGCCAGAGCAAAAGAAATCCTATTGAGGAGCTCCTCGCAAAGTGTTTCCCAGGAGGAAGAAAAAAAAAGTAAATCCCTTTAAGATAGTTCAGCAAAACACTTTAAAACAGGAGAAGCCATCTGCTATGCAAACTCAAGAAACAGGTGCAATAATTCATCAAGAACACCAAGTAATACAATTATCAAATAAAACTAAAAAATAAATGTTTAAAGTCATTAAATTATAAAATAAAAACTGAAAATATGAGAAGAGGAAAACCATTAAAAAACAAGTAGATTTTATGAAGAATCTAGGAGAAGAGAAATGAAAACAGGCACTGAAATTAAAAATTCAAGGAACAGGTTAAACAAACTTAGAGCTGCAGAAAGAATAAGTAATCTAGAAGACAAATCTAAGGAAATTTCTCTGCATGCAGCACAATTCGATAAAAGAAAGGTTAAGAGATATGGAAGATAAAATCCAGCATGTAACTAGAGGCTAATATTAGTCTTATATTTCTATGCAGCTAATATTACAGTAGGAGAAAAGACAGAAGA